TTACACTAATCCGGATTTCTAATCTCAGCAGAACGCCGAGTTGAAACAAATGTGTGTTTGCTTGTATCAGTGACACCATAACTTTCTAACATTGTAAACCTACATGAATGGTCGTATTCGTTATTAGGTTTATATTCATTTTGCTATAAAATAAAATAAAAGGGTGAATCTGGAACTGTAACCAGAAAGTACTTGAAAGTATTGATTAGTTCGTATCACAACCCGTTTACTTACAATGGCATGTTAACTCGTGATACGAAGACATATTGTCGTTTCCATCTGACCCACCTGCTTAATTTTATACCGTACATAATCATCCTTTCATGATTCAAAAATATTATTTCCTGTCATTCCTGTTCTAAGTTTGTTACATCGTTATCAGTAAATGGACTAACAAAGTAAGATCCGAGGTTTTCACGGCGTTGATTATGTAGATGGTAGTCTTGTGGTAGTTTACCAGCGTCTTAGAGGCCCTTGCTGCCTCCGTCATCGCCATAATGATGGAAGCAGCGTGACCCTCTGAAACGTAGGTAAACTGCTACTAGTCTAAATGGCGCTACAGCCCAGAAGACAAATCATCTTCGTACTCACTACCGTGAAAACCTCAAATCCTACAAAGTAAATAATTAAGACGTACATATATAGTTCATAACATGTTTTGGATAGTTACAGCTGATAATTGATCAATAAAGGAGTGGGTTTAAATTTTACATAAAATTATATTTAAATTCTCCATTTAATGTACACTTAGGTATATTAAAATAATTGGCGTTCTAAACACTGATTTTTGTATGAAATTAATATTAAAAGCGAAAATATATATTAATAATAGTATATTTGCCTGAAATTATATTATGCTGCTTTTTACCGCACAATACAAAATTTAATTTGGAATATTATATTTATTTACTTTGTTTCTTACCACCTAACATTTTTCGGCAGTTCTCTCCCTTCATCTTTGAGTTGTCTGTTTGTAAAATTGCTTAAACAGGCATTTTCTAACTTAAGGTTTGAGACGCATTTTCATTGTTTTAATAATGTGGTTATTTCTGGAATAAATGGCATTTTAAAATCTCGATTAGTAGTGTCCATAACAAAAGCATTAAGTGGTTTACCTCTTGTGCAATTAGCTCTCCGTATATGCGAAAACTATTTTTGTTGGAGCGGTTTTTCTTCGTAGATTTGGTGTTCACTGCCTGTTAGTGCATTAATGTCTCTTTTGTTTTGTATACTTCTGCTTGTTTCCGTACACTTAAGAGTTGTATAATTTGTCCTGAACTACGCATTTTTATCGTTAAAATGAATCACATCATTTTTAGTGGATGAGACTGACATACAAAATTTTGGTTAAAGTTCCTTAAGGGAAGAGACCACTTAGAAGACGTAAGCAGGTGAGAGGACATTATTAAAATTTATATTTTTTTTATTCATCTGGCTTAGGCTAAAGACCGGTAGTGGGCTCTTGTGAACACTAAAATTAACCTTCGGGCTAACTATAAGCCGGGGAATTTGCTGACTAACTGAGCGTACTCTTAGCTCCTGAAGAAGGACTCTACTCCGTGGAGTTGATTAGTTTTTGTTAGCAACATTTTAGGCCAATCTCTATACTTTTTATTGGAAACTACTTCAAAGCTACTTAAGTGTTCGGTTCCTTCCTGCCTTCATTAGAAAAATCAAATTGTTAATTAACTATTATGGAAATATTTTTAGTACACTGGACACCAAATATTAGAATTTTTATGAACATTTTTCTTGCAATCACATTTTTTTGTAAATTTATACATAAAGACACTGATTTTTGCGAAGTTATGAAACAGCTTTCTCCGGTAAATTTTACCTTGGGAACTGCATTGAACTGCTTCTATGTAATGAGCCGAATACACATGATTCGTCTAACTATACCAGAGGTACTCTCTAAACGTCATGTCATTCTTTGTCAGATAGTTAATTGTGAGTAGTGAAACATCCAGATTCTACACATGGCAGCACGCTATGCGCGAAATGCAGAGAACATTAAAACAATCGGTACATATAAATCTAGTTACGTCTAGTCTGTTAAGAGATAGAATCGTATTTGTTTTGATTTTGCAGAAGTTGAACCTAAATTATTCTCTCGCAATTTAATGCACCTTACCTGGAACTTGGAATCAAGATGTTTCTGCAGATACGGTTCACTGGCACCACAAACTGATACTTTCGGTAGCGAGATCCAAAGAAGTTGTGGTTTCTGGCGGTCTGCGCCCCGGCTATATAATAGCCGATGTCTGGGGGTGGGGGGACCGTCACATGGGGCCCGCGAGCGAGCATGATCTGCACCGCAAGATTCACCTATCCCCCTCCTGGACATCTTGTTC